GAGTTGAGTTACATTGGCAAACATACATACTGTAACATACATACATATTCAAACACACAAACATATACGCAAAGAATTCCTAATACACAATATTATGTTTACACAGATGCAGACAATTTTACCAACATGCTATTCGTGGTCGCCACTGTGCTGCGTCCGGGTTCACTATTTGTAACGATGGTTATCGTGTCTTGCTCAAAAACACTCCCCACTGGACATTGTGTGCATTATGGAAAGGCAGCTCTTCGATAACTTCGCCAATCTTTTACATAAAAAAAATAAACCAACAAAAAAACATAGGAATTTGACTTTTTGGAGTCAAGGGGAAACCAATGGCAATTGTCAAGTCACATGCACACTACAAGGTGATTGCGCAATCTTTGATAAGAGATTGGTGTATAAAAACCAACCTACAAAGATGTTTCGTTGTCTGACATTCTCTCAGAGTACAGACTTTATCACACAAGAACACGGACCAAAGAACAAGGAAGAAGCAAAAAGTTTCAGAACATTATTGCCAAACACTGAACTGGTAGGCACAAGACAGAGACGATGATGTCACGTCACGATTGTTTCCATTTAGCGTGGGAGCCGGGGGGGGGGGGACCACCTAGTCTTCTTTCATAGCTTCCTCGTTTGATTATTCTGTCCATTAAATTCTTAAAAACCTTTAACTTTAGGAAACCACATTTCTGTTGCTTCTATTTTATTTTCACTATTTTCTTTAATAGTCCAGCACCCACAGCCGTATAGAAGGATTGACCACACTAGCCTCATAGAACCCTTATTTTAGTAGTCATGAGATGTTTCTATTTTTCAGGATTGGATCCATTTTTATTGAAGTTGTCTTTAGTTATTGCGATTCTTCGTTATATTTCCGTCGAGTGATTGGCATCGAATGCAAGGATATTTCCAATTTGTTTATTCAAATTGCTGAACTTGTTCATTCTTTTCATCTTTATTATTAAAGTACAACTGAGGTTGACTGCTTTTTGGAATATTACGATGCGTTTAAAAATCACTTCAAATCGCACCTTTTTCACGAAGCATGTTCTTTCTTTTTTATCGTCTCGATTAGTTTCATGTTAGTAAAACTCTAAAGAGAGGGAATGGGAAGAGAGAGAAAATGACATACATACATACATACATACATACATACATACATACATACATACATACATACATACATACATACATACATATATATATATACTGAGTTGCAAAAGTTCTGTCTCACCCATTATATTATGATAATGTTCGATACAGCGTAAGAATTGTAGTAAAAATTAAAAGTACGACTTTTGGGACGTATGAGACTCCTTGTGCCAGAGCATACGAAAGAAATCATAAACCGGAAGATGTGCGTGGACAAAGTACTGGTATTGATTTCTCTAGGTCTACGTTGAAACCAATGCTTCCTACACACAACATTTGCTTTGAATCGCGTAGACAATGTATAAACACACCTTACACACTATAAAATTCTGTACTTTTTTACGGTTGGATACTTTTTTCACCTGTTTTTCAAAATGAAAAACTGATTAATTCAGAAAATAAAGAGGCTGTGCGTATAATAAATTCTTTAATTGCGCTTTCTGCTCTTGCAAGACACGTAAATGTGTGTAAAAGAACCATCTAACGCTAGAACAAACGTTTTAACATCACTAGAACTGTCCAAGACAAGTCTAGGCGAGGCTAACCAAGGGTGACAACTCGAGTCAGAATTGGGTTATTGTCAACACCCATGTAGGAAACCCGTTCGAACCACTCTGGTTCCAACTAAGTGCATAGACTGGCATGTACTTCGGACTATCTCAAAACACCATTATTAGACATTTACAAGATCGTGGATTACGTGATTATCGCCCTTTGCGAGGAGCTATTCTAACCCTGTTTCATCTAACAAATCGCCAAATTTGGGCACAACATTGGTGATGAAACTAAAGACGTTGGTAGAGTGTTCTTTAAAGCAATGGTTAAGGTTTTAAATTCGTCGCACTAATGGAAGAGGAAAAAGTGTTTAAGAGAAGAGGAAAGAGATTTCCCAAAACCAACGTCCCCCAAGAGGCCCGAATCGGTAGCTGAAATGTGATGGTATGGGGTGGAATCTATGCTCTTTATCGTACACATTTGTTTACTTTTCAAAGCAACTTCAAAAGAGGTCGGTATTGTGACGAAATTATTCGTCACGGTGACTGCCCTAAACGGCACGGATGATGGAACGTGCAAACAAGACAACGCCCGATCACAAATGGCTACGGTTAGTGAAAACTCCTTCCAAACTCACCAAATCGTTGTTCTGGACTGGCCTGCAAGACCAATAAGCCTTAACCCAACAGAACATCTGTAAGATGGCCTTGACTTTAGGATTAGAAAAAGGTCGCACTCCGTATAAACTCGTCAGGAACTGAAGACTACACTAACAAGGAATAGCAGGGGATTCTTCAGACAACCATAAGGACATAAATTCAATCAACGAGATGTTTTCTATCAGTAATTCAAGCTGGAAGAGGCCACACGCCATACTGAGCAAACTTTGATTTGGATTTTGCAAGGGTCAGTGTGAATTAAATTATCTCCCTTGAATAAAGAAAGGCATTTGTCATTTCTTTTCATTTCATGTTGGCATAAAATGAATAAAGATCTCGTGTAGCAAATTTCTCTTAACTATGTTGAATAGTAGATGAGTTATTGTACTTTTAAAGTGGGTGTGACAGAACTTTTGCAACTCAGTATATATATATATAT